TCCCAATTCCACTATATCCTGTGTGATACTAAGTGGGAGTGGTTTAGGTGCTTTGGGATAAGGTTTGAAGACTCCATCAGGGGTGCCAAGATTTGTTGGATTGCCAGTGGAGGATGCTTTGATTTCAAAAGATTTCAACACTTCCAGAACATGCCTTCCAGTTTTTGTACAGGTGTCCTCCAGATGCAAAACACCTCTACTGTTGTGCCTGGTGAGGTTATGACACGCTGCTTGGATCTGTCCCAAGAAAAGTTAATTGTTGAAGACCCAAAAAGCTCCATCATTGGTTCTGTGGGCGGTGGGCCAGTCGTGAACATGCCTGGGAAACAAGGTTGTCAATGAGAATACTGTTATGCCTGGCATCCCAATGGTTGATCCGTTGCTCCAGTAGCCTTTTTCACCCTGTGTGCTTTGTTCAGGATCACCGCCACGAATACCAGGGCACATTCCAAGTTCCACTCTCTCAAACTCATGCCTTGCAGTTCCGTACAAAATCTCTGAAGAAACATTTTCCCCATGCAATTCTGGGGGACTAGGTACTGTTGGGGTCATATGTTGACAATCCGTTCCAAAGACGTTGCCACAGGGCATCATCCGCAATGCCTCCGGTAAGGTGGGTGCCCGGGTTGCTGTGAACGCGATCACCGTAGATTTTGTCCAATTTGGAATTCGCCTTGGTGAGCTTGTAGTCCAGGAGATCCACCCCCTCATCTGGAACTGGAAGATCTGGCCTAATCGTGGTTGTATGAGTTGGGGTTGGGGAATCTGGAGGCCATTGTGTTTTGGCGTGGCATTGGGGAAGGGCTACTCTTGCCATTCTTTCCGCATTCAATGCCTGTACCTCTTCCACCATCCTGTTAACTGCCTCCAGATGGTAAGGGGTCTCATTCTGTCTCTTCCACCAGATGGTAAGGGGCCTCATTCTGTCTCTTCCAATGCTGCTAAGCCATTAAATCAAATCACCATTGCAGAGATGCAGATTGAGCCTCTGCATTAGCCTCCAAATTAACCTCCGAATCCAGCACTGGGCAAGGCGTCAAAGCAGCATTATTTGCTGTATTCAAAGAAGCCTCCACAGCAGCAGTTCTTGCCTCCGCTAGTAAAGCCAATTGCCTTGGAGCAGCAGTATTTGCCTTCGCTAAAGCCAATTGCTTCGGAGGTGCAGATCAAGCCTCCAAATGAGGGGCCAGGCGAGTATTTGAAGCAGCATTATTTGCCCCACACAAAGAGGCCTCCGCAAAATTTGCAGCAACAGCATCAATATCTGCGGCAATCAAAACAGCCTCCACAGAAGCCATAGTAGTAGTAAGATCTTTAGTAATTATAGGGATGGAAGAAAAGAAGAATCGCCACTCGTCACCATCACCATCGTCATTCTTATGACTTCTAATAGTAATTGCAGTACTATCACCAATTTCTGTGCTGCTGCTGGTGTGATCATCACAAAGAAGTCTCATTATTATAACAATGAGAACGAGTTAGAAGGTGGAACAAAAATTATTTCTTCTTCACCACCATCCAGTAAGAAGCAAGAATAATGGCAGCAGCAAGTGTGAGGAGGATTACCTCCTCCTACTAATACTACTACAAGTAGTAGTAGTAGTAGTAGTAGTAGTAGTAGTAGTAGTACTACTACTACTACTACTACTACCACTACCACTACTAGTACGAGTACTAGTAGTACAACAGCAGCATTGTACTAGTAGTAGAATGTTGATGTTATTTAAAATATAGAAGAATTAGTACTAGAATCACCAAAGCAGTACAAGCTAATGTATTCTTGAATCAAAGCCAGAGAATGGTCTGCTGGACCTAGCCAAAAATATCTTAATATTATGGTTTGCCTTGTGAACTAGAAGAGGTACTACTATATGGCCAGAACCATAACTTCAGGGGAGAAGAATGCTCCTAGCTGCTCTGAGGGGTGCTAGTGCCTTCCTCCAAGGAGTAGTTGTGAAGGCACATACAGGGTGCTGGATCTAGCCAAAAACAGAGCACTTTTTGACTCTTCAAGAAAGAATACTACTACTTGTAGTAGTTGTAGTAGTTAAAGCATTACTAGCTAGTAAATAGGATGGCTAGTTCTAGTTGGTAGACTAGTAGCAGTACTAGTTGCAGTACTACTAATTGCAGTACTAATACTACACTATCTAAGCCAGCACAATCTAGTACAGGTCAATACTACTGCTGGTGAAACTACTAGTACCTACATGTACTAGTAAAGTTGTTCATGGAGCCAAATGGGATGGAGAAACAAACTGTTTGCTAGAATGGTGGGGGGCTGGGAGTGAGAATAGCAGGAGATTACAGAAAAAAACACTCTGGTATGGGTAATACTTAATGATGCAGTACCTTACTCTTAGCCAACATACTACTGTTACTACTATTAATTCTGTATTATCCAATCTCAAAGACAATATCTAGATAGTACTACTACAAGTACCGGCCGGTAGGGCAATCACACCAGGACGTAGTAGTTCGGACACTTCCATAGAACGACAAAGAAATGAATTAATGATGTAGAGAAATGTTGTTTCACAAATTTTAGAAGGTGGAATTCGATAGTAAGACGGAAATACTATACGAACGGTCGAACTTTATGCCGCGCGTCTAGTTTTGCACCGAAGTGCAATCAATTATGATAACACAGATATTTAGATGTATATTAATCCATAGTCTGCTTTAAAGCAGCTTATTTGTGTTATCATTGGAATCAACGATGAGTGTTGATCGCCCCCACAGTCGTTGTCGCTCCACCACTTCGAACTCAAAGAAATGTGTCAATGTTGCAATGTCAATCGATTTCGCAAAACTAGGTATTCGGCGAACTGTCAGATAGTCACCATTTTTGGGTCACTGTTGTATCCATTGCTATTGAAAATGTATTTGTTGCCATGATCATAGCTGTCACGGGGTTCTGTTTTTTGGGATGGAAACTTCATGCTCATATGCAGTTGTATACACATTTGGATCTGAAACTGCATGCTCATATGCAGTGGCATCCACATTTGGATCTGCGGACTAGCATCTGTATCTGGTTTCGCATTTGGTACAGTATTTGGTTCCACACTGGCATCGGCATCGGCGCCTAAGTCTGCAGTGACTGCGCTACTAGTGCCAATGTTCTTGACAATGCGTAGCGTTCAATTACTCCCTGAAGATGAGTATTGATCCTTCCGTAGTCATCCGTGAATTTCCCCTGTAGTATTATTTTCAGGATTCATCAATAATAATAATATGTATATTGCCAGTGTAATTGCTACTATCGTTCCAGCATCCTTTGAAAGATTTTTTTCGATTTCCGCCTTGCTCGACTTTCAGTCGCCATGTATTCTCTTCGCGCTTCTTCTTCGTCTTGCATCGCCCTTATTTGAGCCTTCATTGTAGAATGTGCTGAGCATTGCTTGTATATTTTAGCAATGAATTCGTCGTCTATTATTCCAGATTCTCGCTGAGCATTCTGCTCGACAAGAACCGCTGAAACTGGCAATCTTCTTCTCAGTTCTGGACGAGAAAAACCTCGATCATCTTCGTCTTCAGAATCGCTCGAATCGTCTCTATTGTCTGGAATAACACATAGTAATTGCCTTAATTTAGGTTTCTTACTGAATCTTTCACCAGGCTCGGCGTACCAAAGAGCCTTTTTATCCTTTTTCGACAAATGCTTCGCACTAGGAATTTCAACGACTTTGACCCTTTCCGAAAATATCACGCTCTTTTCGTCGCCTGTTAGAAGTGCAGATTCTTCGTATGAATGACTGGGGCTCGTGGTCGACGTGGAGAAAAAGTCAAACACCATGGCGTTGTTTTGCTTTGTCGAGTTGTACTTCAATCATCCAATTTATATACCCCCTTGATGACCTACACTATGATGGGATAGGGCGCAACGATCCCCGATGTAGACTGTTGTTCGACTAAGAGCGTAAAAGTGCAGTTGTATGGTGGTAGCTTTGTCGTTGTTTTCAATTAAGAGTTTCGATGTACAGAAAGGTTCGTTACCTGTCCAGAAAGATCGTAGTGGTGTCGACCCGAATGGTGTTTTGGTCTTTTCTCGGAAGGAAGTCTAGCTCCTTACTTCCGGCATCCCAATATCGTTCCTTCCTTGTGCGAATACGCGTGATAGCCATAATTGTTGGGATGCCCTTTCATAGGGGTGTCGTACGAGAGAATATCCAGATGCAACAGTTGCACAGCGCTGTATCAAATTACGAGTACCGTAACCGTCCAATACGTTAAAAAACTCGGATTTTATTGCGGAGATGCCGTACAATTTTTCAATCCAACGGATGGAAAACACACGGACAATTCGATGCAAGTATGTACGTAATTCTTACCAGTGACGTTCCGAAACAGCGAATTTCCACGTACGCTTAGCTACTAGATCCACCGCAAGTTTGACCACTTCGACCAATGGTGCATACATGTGTGTGTGTGTGTGTGTGTGTGTGTGTGCGCGCGCGCGCGTGATTGTACGCAATGGCTATATTCAAGAAATAGGGGGTCCCAGGAAACAATTTTCATTTAGGTCAATGATTTATCTGGCTTATTTCTGGTAGATTAATGGTGCATGATGTGGTAAAAACATTGTTGTCGATTTAAGGTAGAAACATAGTCGATACCTGGTAGAAACATAGTCGACATGTGGTACGTCACACAAACCGGATCTATGGTATTGCGCGTTTCACGCGGTTGACACCATCGAAGTTTCAGCGTCAACCCTAAGTTTTTCCTGATTGGATAATAGTTTAGAGAATTCCCTCACAACTTCATATATCCAGAACATGTTTCCGAAAACAAGCATAATTTTACTTCAAAAGCATAAAAAACTCATCCTCTGCTTGGAACTTAATTTAACAAGCCTAAAACCATAGAAAACAAGCAAGTGTAACCCATTTTATTGCGTGTTACAGTGTAGCTTCTTTTTCACGACAACTGTCTAGTACAAACGTGTAAAAATACTGTTATTATTTATATTTGGGTATTAAATTCTTATATAAAAACAGGACTCGTAGAGAATATACACAAGACAGTTCGAATTTGTGATCAAGATTGATCACAAATTTGTTATTTCTGATCACATTTTTTTGTGATCAAAACTGATCACAATTTTCGGTACCCAGAGGGGTACCTGGGAATCTAATTTTTTTCCAAAAAATTGAAGTCGACATGGTTCCTGGCGGAGTCCGGTTTCAATTGTTACGAAACTCGTAGTAGTGGGTGGCCTCGTACAGGCAAGTTCAATCGACACCACAGGAAACGTTCTTTCTGCTACTAGTAGTAGTACGTACAGTATTGTTTGTTTTCGCTGCACTGATCGATCTTCGACAATCAACAAACAACCACTCATCATCCATCCGTCGATACCAGTCACAATTCACAATGAACACCATTGTTGTAGTATCACGGCAGAGAAATGAACCTCTTCAGCACAAGGACCGGCAATGACCGCGTCAACTCCGGGTCGATTCTAGTTCTAGCAGGATTCCCAATACTGCTGTCCGGACAAGTTGCCCTGGGAGTTTTGACTATTTTGGTCGCTCTCGTCCTAACCGCGTCACAGGGAATAACCGAAGCCGATAAAATCGAGATTCGCTTTAATGCGTCGACTCCGGAAAACGTCCTTCGCGAGTTGGAGCAACTATCTGAGATGGAAAATGTCAATGGATTTGGGAAAAGCAACAACTCTCGCAAGACACTTTTGGTCGACGAGGAAACCCGGATCAAACACTACGTCAAGGGGCTATTGGCACTGGGACGCAAATATGGCAAATCAAGCGATGACAAGCCCCAGCTTTCCTTGCGCTACCAACAATTGGCATTCGAAACAATACGTCTGTATCCGGAAAACGATCAAATTGTGGATGGTTCAATATCTTTGTTAGCACTAATAGCGAAGGAACCAATAGTTCGGAAACGATACAAAGATCAGGCTCATGAATTCGGTCTGAATCGGCCCATTTCTGTATTGAAAAGTGTATTAGCAAGAGCCAGAAACGAGGAGGACGAAGCAAAAGAAGAAATGCTCGCAGAAATACTACGAAAAGGATGTTTGTTCCTGGGGGCTGTTTGCAACGAGAGCGAAGACCTCGGTCTCTCCTCTGTAGTACTGTCGAAAGGTGGTTTGGAGCTTATCCTGGAAGCCGCAAAATGGTTTCGGTTGCACGAAGAGGTTTCGAACTGGGCGTTGTGGGCTATTTTTACGTTGTCCTACGATCAATTATCCATCAAGGCACGGCTTGTACGATTGCAAGGAATCCAAACTATATGTGGAATCATGGAAAACAATCAAACAAGCCTGGAAGTGACTCGTCATGGCACAGCGATCCTTTTCGATCTATTAAGAGAGAGAGAGCGCGTAACTGTTGGATTCAAATGGAATCCTTGGGAAGTGAGGAAGATTGCCTTGGCATCGGGACTTCACGAGCGAATCTTAGCCGGCATGCGAGAATTTCCCGATTCAATGGATATTATGAAGATGGGACAAGAGATGCTCATCGGAACGGGTTATCGAGGTGATATTCCGAAGTTTCAGGAAATATAGAATTTCCCTTTGACCAACTCATTATAATAGGGACACAATGCGACTCAATACTGATGGATTTCGGTTGCTTGAGGGTATGCTCCGACTTTTAAATAGATTTTTAAGAAAAAAATTGACAACAAATCCTTGGGTTGACTGTGATAGGAGGCATTGTGGTTTGAGCATTCTCGTGAATTTGTAACATCTTATCACACGAACCATCACAAAATGTCAGCGAAAGAGCTATTGGTAGTGTGACACATAGCAGGTACTCAGATTCACTCGGTCGATCGTTACTTCATGTTCTTCCACATGCTCCCCGGAGCTTTCGTGCTGTTTGAAACAATGTTGACGTTGCTGTGGTCATCATCACCCCTTAAAATACCCTCACGCTGTAGCTTCTTGATCTCTTGTGCGAGCATGGCGGAAGTTGGGGGTGTTGCTTCTTCGTGCATACCTCTTAGCTTGTCGCGGTCAGCCACGAACGGAACGTAGATGGCCCCGATAAGGGCAGCTCCTACCGTTCCTCCGACTGCCGCCACCACTGCTCTGTTGCCCGAGACCCGATGTGCCATGGTCGATCTAGTGTGTTGTGGAGTAGCGAAATTGTAGAGGTATTGAATTTATTGTATTTACAGCGTCTTCGATTGATATAATTGTTGGGTTTATTTATCACTCTCGAAGAGGAAGAGTCTCGTACCGTACACTTATTTGCCACGCGAATACTACGGTAGAAGTAGATGAAAAATGTTGAAAACACTGAACATCTTGTGCAAAAACCTTTGCTGTCTGTGCTCATAGCTACAGTACTAAATACGAGTACCGGTACGGGCCCCATCATGGCAAGTTATTGGCAATTCCCCGGGTGTCAATTTTTTCTAATTTTCCCGTCTTTATTTCCCCTCTCCCCCCCCCTCCACACAAAAAACTGGGAGTCCCTAAAATATTTCTATTAGTGGTCCTTACTACTAGGGATATAAAATCAGTGCTTACTACTTGAGAATTAATATGAGTGGTTACTACTACTGGATCAGCTCCATTGCTTCTTACTAGTTGGGATGTTATAGTAGTACTAGTGAACACTGCTGCAAACTGCTGGGTAAGTTGTTGGTGCTGCTCTTTTGGGAGTAGCGAGAAATTAAACAATGGAAATATTTTTATTTTCATCCATTGGATGCCTTTTTTAACTGGCATTTATACATACCAATATGACATACTAATATGAGGTACTAATATGATATGGTGTGGTGTACCAATGCTGCTGCCTTTAAGCAACATGTGGTTGTTAAACACATACTAGTATGGTAACCACTTAAGTCAAATATCACATACCAATATGATATGGTGTGGTGCAAGGGGTCAGCAATGGAATGGTATTTGACTATTGCAATGCTGCACTAGGGTCAAAAATTTTGCAACTGTGCAATGCTACACTCTACAAGCACACATCGGCCATTGCAAGACTGAATCATATAGGACTAAAAAATGCAAGACTGAACACATATGGGACTAAATATTTAGGCACCACTGAATTTTAAGATGAATTCTTACACCTTCTACACTACTACTAGTAATTAATATTACTACAATTACTGTTGGAATACTAGTTGCATCATGCTACCAGCAGCAATAGCAATGACTCTGTGGCAGCCTCTGCTATTGGTGATAGTGACACTACTAGTAGTACTAGTACAGAAGAGCAGGATGCACTCTTTGATCATGATTATACTGCAGCAACAGGCAGGCACAAAAAGAGCAAGATGTTGCAGTGTCTGCCTATCCTCAGAGTATAAAGCAATCATGCAATCTGGAGCTGCTTACTAATAGTAGTAGTAGTAGGTACATGTCCCATCCCCAACTTGCACCACCCTTTGAGATACTAGACAAGGAGAGCAGGAAGACCAGGCACTCCAACCCTCTACAATGGTGGGGAAATCAAAAGAACCACCAATTTCCAACATTGCCTGCTCTAGCAAGGAAGAAGTATCTTGCTGTTCAGTAACATCTGCTCCTTCAGAAAGGATATTTGTTAGTACTACTAGGACACAGAGGATCATCATTGATCTATGCACTAAGTAAGCTTGATCCTGATATTGCAGGAAGGACTTTGTTGTATGTAGCTGAAAATTTGGATTGGTATGAGAAACAAATGGTGGGCACATCATTGAATGATTAGTAAATAGCTACATCATAGTGGTGGTATGGGACTACTACTAGTACTATCAAGTAATTACATTAATATTTTACATTTTATTACACAATGGTATTGTGGTGCAACAGTCAAGGATGAAAAAAGGCATTGTGGACCGTTGCAGCTGTCCCCTAGTGGTGAACCAATGGTGTTGCCTTTAAGGGACACATGGTTAAACACATAGTATGGTAACCTCAAAAACTAGATTCCTAAATTTCACTTACTGATTCTTAGTAGTGAAAAAGAAAATGAATAAAACTAGATTCCCAGACACCCCTATTCAAAGAATGTGATCACAATTGATCACAAAAAATGTGATCAAATCTGATCACAAAATTGCTGAATTTCTTTATCACAATTTTTTGTGATCAGATCCTGATCACATTTTTCCATACGGATTGCTATTGATTATAACAAAGATCTAATACAACACAAGATATCATGTAATGGAGATCTTTGCATATATATACTATAATTTATTTCACAATTCAAAATAGATTCTCTAGGCTGAGACATGATTGATGTGAGTATCGATGTTGCTTGGAAGAGGAATTGGTCTTATTTGTTTTCACCATGGTCTATTCAGTTATTTGGTGATTTTTCTTAAGGGTTGATTAATTTGATACACGTCAAACGGGTAGTAATTACTGTGCACGAAATGCGTGTACTCTTAGTAAGTATTTTAAGTGTGTATGAAATTGAATTATAAGATTAAGATTATCATGAAGATTACC